ATATTACCCCATTTTGTTATGTATAAATAGTTTGTTCTATTCTTGTGATGTGGAAAATAATGTATTATGATATTCTAGATTATTACTGTTTGAAATTTTAATGTTTCAAATATTATACATATTTTAGAAAAAAACGAGTTTACAGATGTGCAAAACAAAATGGTGTAAAAATTGTTGTATTGCCCTATTTCAGAGGTATAAACTTGCAACAACCTTTCATAGTAAGATTTAGCATGGGCAAGAAAACACATCATCAGATTCATATACATTTGTGTTGGTTATCCTACACTTGAAAATGTGTAGGATTTATGATATTTTAAAATAATCATGAGCGGACATTTTAGAAAAATGTATAAAAATGGAGAAAAAATTAGTTTAAAAATTGGTGGCGAGATTATACCTCCATGAAATCCTACAACAATGAACATAGAGGGATAGCATATGGGATACAATTTATAATTCAACTGATATATATTCTTTCACATTTTCTGTGATATGAAATAGGTAATAAGTTAAAGCAATATCATAGATGATGATCTAACAAGTACAATATATTCTTAAGAATGATTTAATAGCAAGAATAATATTTACTTTTAACACTCTTTTTTTCTCCCGGTGCCAATTCACCTGGTCATTATAAATACCATTTGGACACATCTTTATTGGGTCATTTATTGTCATAGTGCGGACTCTCTTCTCGGGCTTCTTTTTGTTAGGCATGTGATCGAATGAAGGTGATTTCCCACACAATATTGAGTCAACATCGTCGAATATAGTTTTTAATGACTCCAACAAATATTTTTCAAATTTTTATTACATTTGGCTTTCATGCTTATTTGATATGAATATTTATTGATATTAATTTGAAATATGATATCAATCAAACAACTAATCTTTATTTGTAATTCCTTAAATTACGTGTAACCATTATTAATATAAATATTTCTTTTATCTCCTAAATACCATCACATGAAGAGATAGTCTTCTAGTATATTCATTATATTTTCTCTACTGAAAAACCTATAATGCAGTCAGAACATGTAATAATCCCCGTCATTTCAATTTTTTTTAGAACTACGACCTATATCATAAGCTTATTTTGTCAAATTTTAAAATCCAATAATTTATTTTTCCTTTATTATCCAAACTTTTTATGTAATAATTTGAAATATTATTAAAAAATACCTCTACAGCAAGTCGTCGATCGTATGTAGAAAATCTTCTTCAAAAAATGAGTATAACTTTCTGGAACAGAACGCAACAGCTTTCTTCAGCACATGACTATTTGTAATAATGAGAACAAATACAAACTAAGTGTATTTTCTCATCATGTTCATTTTGTCTCCGCGTAAAGATTACCTTCTCTAATCCCAAAAAACAATCAAAGATAGAGCTTGCAGGCTTGAAGATATCATATTATACATTATGTACTGACTCACTTCATTGTATGGATAAGATTACCATGCAAAATAAATCTTTATTAAAGAATATTGACCACTTCTTTCTAATTATATATAACTCATTTAGCCAAGCATTATCATTGAGGTTCCTTTTTTCTAGCATTTCCGCCCAATTTTGCTTAAACTCCTCTTTGAATTGCATGTGCTCATAAATGTGTAAAATGCATTATTTATTACCTTATTATCAGTAAAATAATATACTTTTAAAGGAATTTTCTTAAATATATTTCACTGACACATTCTATGAGGTGCGTCTGGCAATGAGTCTTTTATAGCTCTTACAAATACTTGTCACATTTTACTGTTTATTCCATTCCTCATGGCAAAGTAGTCTAAAGATGGGTGTGCAGATGTGTGTATCGCTCATATCTTATATTTAAACAATATATATCAGTAGAATAATATACTTTTAAAGGAATTTTCTTAAATTTATTTCACTGACACATTCTATGAGGTGCGTATGGCAATGAGTCTTTTATAGCTCTTACAAATACTTGACTCTGATAAGTGAATAATGTTAATTGATGTATTTCATCTATTATACAAAGAAATATTTTGAATAACAATTTGAAAGAGTCAATTATCTCGTTTGATATAAAAGCTATTTCAAAAAGAAGATTTTGCTAGTAAGGATTAACTTTAAGAAAATAAGCATAAATTAAATTGTATTTAATCAGACAATAACTTGTATAACAATTAAGGCATCACCAAAGCAATCATTGCAACCCTTACATAGATAATCAACCTACACAACTCATCAATCTAAAAATCCCATGCAAATATACTTTACGCAGTTTGTCTCTTTGTTGAACAGTTGTATTAAAGTATTAGTGCCACCATTTTCAATCACTGCTCTTCTGTCATTTTGAATAAATTGAATGCATCTTTATTTGAAAATCATAAATTCTCTTTTGCATTAACTTTCATTGCAAGAAAGTTGAATGCAACAGTTGCTTCAATCCCTACATATCTTCCTTGATGTCATTCATGCCCTAAGTACCTCAATTAGGTGGGTTTTGGTCCCTCTTACCCAGTTTTGTACCTTTTCTTTGTGGCAATAAATAAGGAGCTATATAATGCTATTTTATTAAAAAAAGATGTTGATTATCTATCTTTTCTAAAGAATGATTATGATTTTTTATAGATCTTTTAATCTTTCAATTACCATCAACATTAACACCATATTGAATTATGACTAGATAACCAGTCATAGTGTTTGCCTTTTTAAACTCCACTATACTTTTGAGATTATCCATTTTTTAAAATTAGCTTTACCCCATAAAAAGTTATTTTATATTTTGTTCTTCGAGTTTGGCCAATAACTAACATAGCCCTTTGGAACAATGTGATGTACATAGCTATAATATCAATAATATGCCTTCTTTTCATTTTGAACAATGATGTTAAGCAATTTCTCCACAACTAGTTTCTTTCCCACATTCCTTCATTTTTGAAAATTGTATGGGAAATCAAGGAATACAACTATTTGTACACCTATTTTGTTTTACAAAAAAGAAATTGCATAAAACAATAATATTTGAAACAAATGAGGCTTATCATATCAAAATATATTGCTTCCAATAATAAAACTTGATTACATATGATTTAAATATAAGATGCAAAACAATATACACATCTGTTCACCCATCCTAGTTTGTCAAAAGAAGTTTAATAAAACAAAAATATGTGGAATAAATGAAGCTTATCATATTAAACAATATTATTTTCATTAACAAAACTTGATTACATATGATTTAAACATGAGATATAAAATAATACACCGATATATACACCCATATGTATACCTATTCTATCTTACCAAATGAAATTGAAGAAAATAGTAATCCTTGGAAGAAATGAAGCTTATAATATCAAAATATATTATTTCCAAATATAAAACATGATTACATATAATTTAAACATGGGGCATAAAACAATACACCCATCTGTACACCAATTATTTTATATTAAGCAAAAATGAATAAAAAAATAATACATAGAAGAAATGAAGCTCATAATATCAAAATACATTGTTTTCATTAACAAAATATGATTACATATGATTAAACATGAGAAATCAAGCAATACACCTATATGTACGCCCATTCTGTTTTTTCAAAAAGAACAAGAAAATTATAATATATGGAACAAAACAGTCTTATAGTTTTAATGAACTTCATTTCATTCCTGTGATCAGTACTTCATTCACTTTTCATTTTTAAAATTTTTACTCGGCTGAGTGCTAGTTGTGCTTCACGAATGTCGCTCAAAACTCCTCAAAATGCCATAGAAAACTCTAAGCTAGTCAAAAACCCTAGGACGTAAAGAGGAAATAAACACTAATATGGGCATGTCCATGTATTTTAATAGATCATTTTTTAGAGATCAAATCTAGGTCCATTATGTTGGCCATGTGTCTTGATGGAGTTCGAGCACTCCACTGCTCTGAGTGTAATATTTTCTTGAGTGTCAAATGGCTTATTTAAAAAAAAATTGTGATATTCTTTTACTAAATCAAAATTTTATAAAAATTATTTTATAGGCCGGAATTTTTAGCATATATTTAAGATTTTCTTTATTTCTTTCTTTATTTCCTTGAAAGAGCTTTAGAAAAATTACCTCAATTATCTCATCGTTTTACCCACACAAACTTTGGAATGGCTAATTCTTCGCTGCTGCTTTCCTTGTGCTCGATAAGGACGCGAATTCCCTTCAAAGTAGTAGTGGATTTGTGTTCCTGATATAATTTGTGCTTCAGCACTAAACTAATTTTTCTTTCAATTCCAAATTCCATGTATGAAATTCTCTTTATTCACTCAACTTAAATAATAAAATCTATATTTTAGTATCTTTAGTTCCTATTGGTTATCTGTATGCCATTAAAACATAGAATTTTTGAAATATATTTCAGTCTGTAAGCTTTTCTTCAACTACAGAATGATTAATAAGTTGGACATTAGAAATTTCTCAAGGCAACAGCAAAAAACAGAAAAAGCTAAATAATCTAAATAGCCATCTTTCTAATGGTTATAACAAAAATATTTGAGAGGAACAATTTAACAACCACAAAACAAAACTATAATAATCGTCCAGAAAATAAAACAACGAATAACTGAAATGGGCCCTAAAGCTATATAAAATTTTATAGTCCCACTTAAATATTAAATTAGAATATTTAAACCGCTCACATGAGAGTATCATGCATACGCTTCTCATCGATAATCAAATATGAAACTGCAATGCATTAGATTAAAGAAATAAAAGGGCATTTACATACAAATCACAAATTCTTACGTATATACATACTTGACACCTAAACATTCATATTTACATGCATACCACTCAAATCTTAAACATTACATCAAAAATATCACAATTATTATTTTTTTAAGTGAAATATACTTTTTCATGTAGGCTTATGACACCAAGGTGTTATAAGTGTCAATATCTTTGGGCATTAGATATGTAAATATAGAATAATTATGTAGATATATACATGTAATTTCCTCGGATAAAAAAGGGAGCATGAGAAGCACAACATTGGATGGAAAATCTCATTTTATTTGAACATTTTTACAACAGGACTCTAAATAGAGAGATTTATTACACACAAACAGATAAAATAAGTCAGCAAAGAACCAGAGCTACCAACCTTGGTCTTCTTGAGCAGCGAGCATTCCTTCAAAGGAAACTCCAGGTTCTTTCTCCTTCTAATTTCATCCTCTCTATCGGCTGCTCGCATCCACCTTCTTCATTTCTGCTGCTTAGAAATCCCATATGTTTCAGTCCTTGCAAATCTCCCGCGCACCCGCGGCTGACAGTCCGCTAATGCCTTCCTGCACGCATACTGCCCAATATACACAACCTTCATTAATTTTCTCTAACGTTACTATGTAGATCAACTGCCACACAGTAGATTTATATATATATATATGTGCTGGGAAAATATTATTATTGATTCTCTGGAAATGAATTGAAAGTTCCATAACATAATCATGACACGACTCTATTAGGGCTTGTTCATCTTAGCAATTGTATTAAGACTTTCTTGTTGAATAAACAAACTTAATATAAAACTTATTTGAAACTTGATATAAAGATCAATTAAAATTCATTTATAACAGGCTCAATTTCATCTTATAATTGGAAATTTAATCCACCATGATTAGGATGTATTAAAGTAGGTAAGTTAAATTATTGAGCTTCTAATCCATGTGCCTTCCGGAAGGTTATAGGAAATTGTGTTAAAAAAAATGATAAATTTGTAAAAAAATTAAACCTTGATAAATTATTATTATTTTTTAGCTCAACAGGATTGGCTCATTAAGTCTCAAAAGCCTTGATTGAATAAGGCTTATGCATGTTTCCAAAGGAACTATTTATTTAAAACTCCACGAAAAAAAATTATCAAAACGAGAATCATCTATATGCAAAACAAAGGTGGTGGTCCTCAATCGGATGTGAAAAGGTTGATGCAGATTTTTGCTATAGCGACAGGTAGTGATAGCAGCTGCTACGGAGTGATTGGGACGGTTAGGAAATACATGCCCAAGTGCGTTACAGCTAATTAGGTGCCATTTGTGCTCTTTCATTGATTTAGTTGCCACTTTTGGGCTTTTCTGATTCTGTTAAGAGGATGTTTCTTTTTTGGGCTTCAGCTATAAGATATTTTGATATTTAATTTCTATTTTATATTATATTTTCTTCCATTTGAAAGGTGAGATTTTTTCTTAAGATTTAATTTAGCTTATTCTTTCCTCCATAAAGGAACAATTAATCCTCATTTCTAATTCAGTGAAAAAAAATATAAAACTATTTAAAGTTTGAATTTTTAGGAAAAGCGACTAAATAAAAAGGTTTACAAAAAAAATAAAAATAAAAATACTTTATCATATTTTCAGATCCAGGCTTCTTAAAACCCTAAGCATATTTCTGCGATTATTAAAATCCTGATGTAGTGGCTAGTAATCACTGTTGCATAATAAACACCACAAGTTTATCGGGTAGGGCATACAACCAAGGTTTTTAAAACTATAATGCGTATGGTAGAGTAGTCCTCATTGGTAAAATAACGTAAACTACTATCCTTGCCTGTAAATTTTAGTAAAATTGCATCAATCAGGCCAAAGTATATGGAGTTTTTTATAAGCAACTTTCCTGTTTTTTAATATATTGTCCCGTGCGATAAAAAAATACCCATATAAGGAAGATTTACATAAATACTACACAATTCTTATGTATTTACACAGCTAACAACTAAACTTTGATTTTTACCTTTATACCAGTTTATCTAAGCTTTAAAGGACATAATTCTGTTTAAAAGTTAGTGATAGTGATATTTTTGACGTTAGATGAAATATTTGACTCTTGCAAATGTAAAAATTAAACTTTAACTGTACTGTTTTAGAATAAATTGCGCCCATGTTCTTTTAATTTTTACGAAGAAAAACTTTCATTTATACACCTAACTTATCATCAGTGCCTTACCTTAACTCAAGCTTTCTTGCACCAGAAGCTCAGTGTCTGTACAGAGCTCACCAAATTATCTTTAGAGATTGGGGCCTTTACTTACCACCCAGTTCTTATGTATTTACATATCTAACAACTAAACTTTGTTTTCTACATTTATAACACCCAATTCTTTCATATCATATTAAAAAACCACTTTTTGAACTTATAAAAAGTGAAATTCATATTTTCATGCACAAATAAGGTGGCATATATCTAAAAAGTTAAGTTTAAGCGTTAGATCTCTAAACAGATAAGAATTGAGTGGCATGCATGTACATCTGCCTAAAAAAATTATAGCCAACTCCTCATCAATTTATTTCAAATTTAAAAAGATTTGGATACCAAGCTTAATGAACATAAGGTTAAAACTGTTTTCATAAGAAAAAGGTAACCAATGAAGAGTATGTGAAATACCTTAATTGTCCTACCAAAATTTCTTCTTGTTTTTTTCTTCATGTATCTTGAGAGTTTCTGCCTGCGATCCTCCGACTTAAAGTCACCCATGGCTACTAGCTGTTCCAGGGAAGAACGGACAGCGACTGTGCCTCCAAAGCTTGTAGTAGAATTTCCAAGTTTCTGTCCAAAAAGCACACAAAATAAAACAAATTTGTACTTCGAAATATATTTTATATGTATTTGATATCTATAGAAGTAATAATTTGCCTCTTTTAATATTCATACTATTTCAAACAAACTATTTCAAACAAACTATTTATAAAAGTAGAAAGCAATTTAGATGACAATCGCAACAGTTCAGTAATCAAATACATAGCATAGAACAATATGGCTTCAAGCTCCACAGCTATCTTTCTTAGAAAAACAAGGGGAAAAAAGAGAGACTTTCAGAATTACACAAACCAGAAATTATGATACAAAGTCAAATATGTTGAAAGTTATTCCCTTTCATCCCATAAATTCTAATGATAACCTACTTTTCAAAGTCAGTTTATGCGAAAGAATAAGTTCAGAAGAAAAAGTAAGCTAGATGCTCATCTATAGGAACAAAGAAAACACAAATAAAGCCAATTATAAAACACACCATCACACCAAAACTTAGTTCGGATATGCAAACATATGCCATGGAAACTAGTTCGAAATTACACTAAGAATAGTTTTGCTTACAACAAATTCAGACTGTTGAGTTTTTGAAAACCAAATTCACCGAAAATTTCTCAATTTGGCCAGATTTAATTTCAATGAAGTGGAACGATGCAAGCTGTTGAACAATTGATTCTTACCAAAAACTATTTCCAAACATACTGTTTCATAAAAAAAAAATGAAAATCATCTTCAGAAACCAAAAAAAACAATTCAAGCGCTCTAATCTCTAAAAATAAACAAAACTACAAAATCAGAATTCCCTTTTCTCACTCAATATTCCGTACTTGGCAATTTGATGCTAATAGGATAAAGCAGAAGGAATTGACTGACCTGAATGTCACCTTCACTGTAAGCCCTCCTCATTCCATACGCAGCTTCAAAATCCAAGTCCTTGAACTCAAGAAAATTCGGTTTTCCTCCACCATTACTCCAGTCTGGAAAGTTTAGAGACCCAGCACTAAAACTTTTATTTAGAGGTCCTTCTGAAACTATCCTACTGTTTTCCAGACTAAGAGTTTCCTCTGCTGGCATCACTGGAATCTGAAGAGAAGCTGGTTCAACAACAGAGTCATTAATGGCATATTTTTCTAAGAGTTCCTTCTTGCACTCATAGAACACATCAATCAAAAGATGACTATTTTGGATCTCATTCTGGATGGTCTGTATGTCTGCAACCTTGATTGTATCATTGATCACATCTTCTCCACCAGACATTATGGACATGGCAGCACTCATAGGATCAATAGCAAGTACCGTTTCTTCCAAGATTGGCTCAGGAGCTTTGAACAAATCTCCTTCACCTCCAAGATCATATTCAAATATGTTGGATGGCTGCACTAAATTTCCCTACAGAGCAGCATACCTTTGTTTACTAAAAGGAATTGCAGGTTTTTCCAATTGTTGAAAATAAAAAGCTACTTAAATGAAATTAAAAGAATTCACATATTTTATAAGGTGTAAAAACTATGGTAACAAGTTGTTCAAGACACATCAAAGGAAGAAAACTTCATTTTTTTTTTTCAACAAAAACAAGTTTTTATGAAGGACTTCCGCAAAAAATCCCAAGATATTTATCAACTAATCTAGGACATTTTCTATGAACTACCCTCAATTTTTTGGATGGAATTGTGCTAATTAGCATGCTGTGATTTCAAATCTAACCACTTAAGCAATCATAAACACATGCACTTTAGATTTTGAAGACATTATTCGGTTAATCATTCCTAATAAAACAAGAGAGTCCAGATCTGCGGCTTCCAATAATAGATTTTCATGGGTTTGCATAAGTGGAAGATCGAAATGTTATATTTTTGGCTCCAATTAGTTTTTCTATTACTCAAATATCCAGATTCCAGAAGTTCCCCGTAACATTTACTCATCGTAATTGATCATTCTCGGAAACAATGAATAAATATTCCCTACGGATGTCCCGAGGATGCTGTTATGAGTAGATATAAAATTTCATGTTAACTGTACACGAAATTTTCTCCATCTTTATATCTCTCATATGGTTGACAAGGAAGAGGAAGAAGAAGAAGAAGAACCTGCTAATGTAAATCATTTTGAGCATATCCTTGGAAGATTATTTTCAACAAAGGAGAACATAAGCGTCCATTGAACACATTATTTTCTTAGTGAGATTTATACCTCTAAACCCTTCATTTGAACGAGAGCAAGAGGGCAACACTATCACTCAACTGAAGGGCTGTATCGGCTTCTAGCCCAGTGAGCAAATAGGTTAAATAAGTTAAGTTTTCCCAAGTAAAATCAAGGACGACTAGAACAAATCAGGCCGGATGTGCCGAGCACCATCAAAAAAATGAAATGGAAAAAAAAATCTGGCTACCAGTTCAAATATTTGGGAAGAAAAAATACATGCCAACTCAAATTGATTTCAATTTGCCTTTAGCAATATAAGTGAGATATTAATTTTTTCAAAAAAAAAAAAAGATTCAGAACTCTCAAGTCTTACAGAGTTTTAGAAGACAAAAACAAAAAAAATCCTCAACAATCTCAACAAGAAGAGCAAATAAAAAAGAAAATCGTAAATCGCATAAGAAGGAAGATACACGAGAAACAGAAGGGTCATTTCTATAAAATTAAGCAAGAATATGAACAATTCAGTCATTTTGACCTTGCAAAAAAACTGAGAAGACCGATTCATGGGACCGGCCAAACCAAAGTACCCATCCAGCTTCACAGCACACTCTAACACCATTTATGGCTGCCCTCAACATTGTCCCAATTATCACATGCTAACCCTACTGGAAAGAACAACAGAAACAGAGGAAACAGAGGAAGTAGAGAAAGTAGATGATCACAACCACCCTTGGGTGCAAATTTGGAGATTCTTGAGGAAAAAAGCATACCATTGGAGTAGAAACTCCCAGTAGATCGCCGGTTAGCGATATACTTAGCTGGTGCTCCTGTAGCTGAGCAACTGGCGCAGGCGGCGAAGGCATCAGCGAGAACCCTTCTAAGAAGGGCAGCAGAAAGTTGGGCTCTGCATACATCCCTCTCCCTCTCCCTCTCCCTCTCCCTCTCCCTTCCCCCCTCTCTCTTCCTTCGTAATTGGAACTATGAAGTTAAGGGGGTGAAAGTAACCATAGAAAGAAAAGATGAAAGTGGCGCCGCTAGTCTATTTATTGCGGAAGAATGTGGGTTTGTGTGAGAGAAAGAGAATATATATATATACATTTATGCATATGCATGAGTGTACGTACATAAAATATGTTGACATGAATCTCGAGAAAATCCAACAGACTGGAAGACCAAACCACACAATCTAACGGGCCCCATGGGTTCCACCAAAAAACACAAAAATATTGTATCAGGATAGTCAAAACACGGAAGAAGCAAGCGTCGATTCCTTTGATCAGAATTCTGAGTCAATTAAACTGAAGGGCAGATGAATGGAGAAAAAGGAGTCCAATCTTTGGGGTGGTCGTTCTTGACCAGATCTCTTAGAAGATTTTGGAGCTCCTCAAAAAATGGTCAAAGAACCCTTATGAAATGTCTTAGCTCTTCTAAGAATGCTCCTTGTTTAAAGAGAGATGCCTGTCAGATTAATGTGACACACCCTCTAATTGACGGTTTAATTTATCTTGATGACAGTTCTTAGAATTATTCCAACACGGCCATCCAGTCGACCAAATGTCTATCAACCAACTAGAGGCTTCCATTCGATTGAACGATAAGGTTGCCGAGTCATTTGATGCCTTTATTCAAGTTGTTAAGAATTTGAAAAGGTGCCAAAAATAGTTTTGAATTTGAAAGGATGCCCAAAATCAGTTATGAATATGAAAATGTTTGAAATCAACTTGTAGCCCCTTTATTAAAATAGGGGCAAGCATGTAGTGGCGCATTGAGTTCAGCCACAATGTTATATCTGACCAGCCCTCGTGAAGAATGCAGAGGAGTTTTCCAAAATATGTGAGCAATTCTAGAAGTATGCTCTGTTGCATCATTGGCTGACCAACAAACTTCAGCCTAATGTCTATCCCTAACCTTTCTCCATTTAGGGGCTTGACATCCTAGGGTCTTTTCCTCATTCAAAATGTAAACACAAATTCCTCTTAGTTGTCTTAGATTACTTTTCAAAATGGATTAAGGCGAAATCGCTCATTCTCATCATGATGGAGATCTTCCAAAAGTTTTTTCTAGATTGATATCATCTTTCAATATGACTTACCCTTGGTATAGATCTCCGACAATGAGAGATAATTCACTAACCAAACAGTAAGGAAAATTTGTCAAAGTTGCAACACATTTTTGGTGTTTATATCAATGTTGGAGAACCTATTTTCACTTTCGGGGTCCAGTGAACCACAAATGGTCATCTAGACAAAGTTGTGCGCATGTGAAAAGAAAAGAAGCAAAGAGGCAAGTCCAATTGGGGGATTGAGCGCTCAAGCACCCAAAATGGGCACCCAAGTGACCATACCATGCTTTGGTGCCCCTAAAGAGGTGCCACTTGGCCTATGGGCACTTGGGTGCTCTTCGCTTTATTTAGCATCCCCCAAAGAGGCTTCATTTGCTCTATAGATGCCTAAGCACCCAACTTTGTGCTTGCAATTTTTGTCAAGCCGAGAGTACTCCACTCGAGCATCCTTGTAGGTGCTTTGACACCTAAATTGAAAATGTTGTAAACTAAGTGGGAGGTGGTTTTTCACCTGCTTCAGTGCTCGAGCACTAGACATTGAAAACACTGTGGCTTTAAACTGACATGCCTCCCTGCAAGGTAATAAATCTCATTTAATCCATTTCATTTACCTTTTTTGGGAGGAAACCAAAGAATGAAAGGGAATGTTGTCCTTTTTTCATGGAAACTTGTCGAAAAAATGGCGAATCCATAGCATAAGAGATGCTATGGATAGAGTGAGCAAGTGGCATCAAATCGATGATCGTTCATTTGAACTTATTTCAGGAGAGAAGCAAAGGGAGCATTTTGGAGAGTTATGAGAGGCTTTTGAAGGATTTCTTCCAATTTCTTCATATTCTTCATCCTCTTCATCCCTTTCTTATTCCTCACTATTTCCTTGAACGGGCTTTTCATTTCCTGAGAGAATAGAGTAGCGCGGGGATTTCCTTGGAGCTTCCTTGAAATTTCCTTATAGAGGAAAGCATCTTCCCTCTTTGGAGAAGCATCAAAGTTATCTTAACCAGTGCAATGTAGGAGCTTGAAGGAAGCCAAGAGCACACTAGTCCAATCACCACAAAGATATAAAGCTTCTAAAACTATTGTAATTTCATTCCTAGTAAGCACCCTAGTTCTGCTGCTAGAGATTTAAGGTTTAGGATTTTGTGCTTTAGTAAGCCCCCTTAGGTTATGAGCTTTTCTTTTCAAATCCCTATGAATCCTTGAGTGATCACTCCAAACCCTTTGATCATTGATCCCAACTATAGGAATTCAAATTTCTCATGATTTTGGTGGCTCAAATATTCTATGGAATGATTGGAGCACTTGGACTCAGAGGATGAAAAAGCCCCTTAGTTATCTCTTTCTCCAAATTGTGAAGGAACTTTCTTCAAGAAGTTAAGGAAAACTCCTCACTTCATTTGCTAAATTTGGAGGTAGCTTCTTTATACATCCATAAATCAAAGCCTAGGATCATATGTGAGAAAGCTAAGATGAGTTTAATTCGCTATTAGATATGTGGGTTGGCATTTGCTTGCACATCATTCATGATGTCTTGCATGTGGCATTTTGCATGTGTCAGCTTGATTAGTCACCCTGACTTGATTGACTGAACACTTTGGTTCGATCGACCACCCTGACCCAATCAACCACCCTTTGGTTCAATCGATCACTTTGATTTTATCGACCAATCATGTTGGTTTGATCTGTCACCCTGACCCAATTGATTGATCACTTTGGTATGGTCAGCCGCTTAGACCTAACTGAGCCTAATTGTCATAATACCTAGTTGATCCAACAGGACAATTGACCAACCCCACTTGCATATCACATTTCTTGTAGGTGCTTTTACTCTGCTTGTATGATGTTGTTAATCTCTTGAATTCATGTTTGTGTACATAAAAAAAGTATGTTCAAATGTTATGTGCTATGTTAAGGACTATTGCATGAAAAATCTATCTTTGCCTTTGGCATTTGCTTGCACATTGTGTCTCCTCGAGCACTAGAATTTGTGGTATCACTACACACGTATGCCACCATATGTGTGTGGCTTGATATTTGTGTATCCATGGTGAGTGGTTGCTAGTAAGGCTAGCCCACCTAGGCATGGTACTCCTAAACCAAGATTATGTCGCATCATTGTGGAGCCTTGTAAGGCTAGACCACCGGTGTGTAAGCCTCCTAAATGGAGACACACCACCTCACTTCTTACAATATCGCATTTGAAAGTCATAAGCACTTCATTCGGTGTACTCAATTTGGGTCATGCTCTAAAGCTACTAAATCCATTGAGTGCACAATGTGTGCCCACTTGATTGTGTCACCTTGCATTTGTCATAAGTTTGTCATTTTCATCTTACATAAATTACCTTTCAAATTACCCAAATTTGAAAGGTAATTTATTAGCTCAAATTACCCATATTTTAAATCCTAAACTCCTTTCAAAACTCACCCACTTCAAATTGAATACTCAATTAGCCTTGGTCAAGGCCAAATTTCACTCAAATTTAATTTGGACCAAAACCCCCAATTTTGGCTCAAAATCTAAGTTCCACCAAATTGAACATCATAACCCCCAAAAATTTCACTCAATTGATATTCAAAACTCTTCATGGAAATCCCTTGGACTAAAATTGAACCATTAATTGGGTTTAACCAAAAGCTCTAGCTTAATCCCAACCTAAGACTAACCCAAATGCACCAAAATTGGCCATGAGCTAAAATCCTTCAAATTGAGCTTCCAAATCAATCAAAAACCACTCCAAACCTTTTATAAAATATTCATGACAATCATCTAAGTCAAGTTGCTTAATCGATTGGTCCAATCCAAGCTCAAGCCCAAGTCTAGTCTAACTTGAACCCAAAATGCCGAAAATTGAACCCATCCACCAAAGTTAACCAAACCAAACCAAATTGATCAAACAAAAACCACCATAGCTACTATTTTGACTATAATGACCAGGCTAGACCCACTTAGCCCACCCTATATGAGCCATGAACCAATGGTCCCTTGATTTAGGGGATCTCTTTCCATATTTGTCTTAACCAAGATATCTTTGCCATCAACCTTAACCATTCAGATTTAACCATCATTAAAGCTCTCTTAGCTCCCTTGACTTCTCTGACCACCACCACTGGCCCTGTCGGCCAGCCTAGTGGCCGGAAAACCCTAAACCAAGAGAGCCCTCTCACCCAAATACACTCAAATTAACCCAACAAATGCGACTCATCCCCATTGGTCTTTGGCACTCTTCAACCCTACACATAGGCAGCCAAGTGCTTCTGAATTGAAGCCCTGAGCTCCTCCCCTTCCATGGTTATTTAAACCAACCTCCTCCACATCCAAAGAAGAGGATAATAAAAAACTAAACAAAACTCTGCCAAAATCTTACCCGAGCTCCTCTAGACCTTCCTGAGTGTAAACCCAATGTTTCCAGCCACCCTAACCCACTACCCTGAGCCAATTTCTCAGGCCAATTCTTTGTAGAAACCATGAAATAATTCCCCACTCCACTACACTGCACCAAAGTCTAATTAAACTTGCCTACACCATCCTAATATTGAGATGAGTAGATCCCCCACAAAAGCCCCATCATAGAGAGCCTCTAGCATAGCTAAAGACCAACACCTAGAAATCACTTTAATCAAAATCATACCTAGATGATTCACCAAGCCCAACAACTCATCTGGAGGCTTGTTGGACTCCATTGAAGCTTCCACAAGCATCTGATTGAGGCCTCCCCTCTCAGACTCAGGTATAACACTTAAACAATAATTTTTACCTCAGTTTGGGCCTTTGTGAAGTAAACTTGTATTTCATAGCATTGTAACCTTATGGATGTATTAGTTTTGAGTAGATGAAGGTGTAGAAACAAATCAGGCTTGATTTGGTTGAGTATCAAGCGAGATCTTAAGTCTATAAGTCGAACGGTTTTTGGGTTAGGTTAATCGAGGACGATGAACGGATGCATCCATTCATGTGTGCGTTGATCCAACGCCGGCAGAAGCGTC